GATGATGGCCATCTCTGTGTAAAGCTCCTTGGGGCGCGACTCTGCCAGCTGAAATGCAGCAGGGTCCCAGCGAGCGCCTTCCAGAAACAAGCCGTGGATATAGCAGCCTTCGTCGGGATGGCGAGTGAGCTCGCTCACCGACTCCTTCATTACCTGTGGAGGAGAGCGGGTCGAGGCATGTCCCTGGAGGCTCAGCCCCAAGGACCCCCTTAAGCTGCTCTTAGTGAAGTCAACGCTGCCCAAGGGGAGCCTGCCCCAGCTCTCAGATGTGCTGGGATGGGTTTTCTGGCATCTCACATCTTGAGGCTGTGGGGCAGCCTGTGGCAAAGCCTGGGGAGGGGGATGTGAGCAGGTCTGGTGAGGCAGAGAAGCCTCCGCTTGCCTTGAGGAGGTGTCCGGCAGCGTGGGTGGGTGTATTGGAGCGCAAAGAGGATGATGGGGTCCATGGGCAGCTGTGCAGCTAGTGGCTTCAGCTCTTGGGCAGGTCAGGGCTAGAACTGCTGCCTTTGTGGCCTTCTAGCAGCAGATTCAAAAAAAAATCCAGAAAAATCCAGCTGACTTACTGACCTTGAAGCTGAATGAGATGGTGTCGATGGAGATGACAGACTTCCTGGCGAAGTTCTGCAGAGTCCCGGTGAGGAAGGCCTGGGGGAAGAAGAATCCGCTGATCCAGAACACGGAGGGGATCCCGTGGCTGATCCATTTCTGCAGGAATTCAATCCGCTGCACCAAGTCATTCACCCAGGATGCCAGGGGCTTCAGTGATGGGTAGGCCTGCAGGGCACCCACAGAAGAAGGTGTTGAACACAATTGAGGTCACCTTAGACCTTGTGCCCCAGTTGCTGACAGCTGCCCAGAGTCCAGCGATTCATCCAGGCTGGGGCTGGGAACAACTGTGAGCTGCACTAGGCAGGAGACATTTCCATGCCAGAGGAGCAAGAGCTCCATGTCGGACAGCCCAGTCCAGCTGCGGTGGCTGACGACCTGTTCCCCTGATTTGAGTGCGCTCCTGTGGGCAGGTGGACTGGCCGGGGCACGCACCTTGGCATTCCACATCTCGGGGACAGTGTTGTTGTACAAGCTGCTGGCCATCAGCTCCAGCTGAGAGGACATCACGACCAGGCCCTTGAGCGCTTTCAGCAAATCCTTCAGTGTCTGAGCAATCACCTCCAGGAGCTTGTTGTACCTACGGAGAAAGAGCAGAGGGATCAGAGTGACTCGGTGCAGTGGTTTGTCACCTGCGTCTGTCCACAGAGGGTCTGGATCTCTGCACAAAGCTCCTCCATGTAACCCCCAGCCCCATTCCTCTTTAACAGGGTCTCATAGGTGCCTGCTGCCCGCCCTGGATTGCTGGCAGCAGACGGAGACACTGATCAGTCCAGGCAGGACAGGCAACAGCTGAGGGCTCTGGCTGGGACAACACAGTTGTTACTGTGGCTGCCAACTCCACTGCCACGCTCAGCAATGAGGTTCTTCAAGAGTGGGTGGGAGCAGGGGCCTGCACATCTCAGCTGCTCCCCAAAGGACCAGCCGGTCACTGGCCCGGGACCCCCCGCAGGGCTTTTACCTGATCACCTCCTGCACCAGCACTGTGTTCATAGACTCTTCGTAGAGCAGCGGGTATTTGTGCATCACCTCCTGCAGGTTCATGGGGGCAGGCAGCTTTGCCAGGATGTCTTTGGAGGTCTCTTCCACAAGCTGGAAGGAAGATAGCAAGTGGGTGAGGATCCTCCTGGCAATGGCTGATGAGAAAGGGGAGAGCTAACACCTGGATGGCAGTGCCATTGCTGGCACCTGGCAGGCAAGGTGGCACAAGCATTGGTGACACCCGCTGAGAACTGGTGTTTGTGCTCGCTGCCCATGCCAGGCACTGGCTGGCAGAGCACTGACAGGATTGGGGCACCGATGGGATGGGGGTCCCCACCTCTTCCCTGCTGCGTCCTCCCACCGTGAAGGTCTTGGGTTGCAGCTGCAGAATGGCCCCCAGCAGAGCAAAGGTCTCGTTCTGAGCGAAGGTGATGTTGGCATTGTCGTGTAAACCAAAGAACTCTGGGCTGTCGTTGAGTGGCAGGCTCTGGATGTACTGGAGGTAACCCTGGAGAGGAATCCACAGAGGTTGTGAGACCAAGAGCACAGCCATAAAGCTGTGGTGCCCCTTCGGGCTGCTGTGGGCCTGGCCTGAAAGAAGTGCCCAAGTCAGGGTTGCTGGATAAGCTAAACCCAGCAGATCGCAGATCTGCAGGTCGGTTGGGAGGGATTCCTTGTCTTGGTGTTTGAAATTCCTTCATCTGAGTTTTACACAGCTCCTTGTCTCCTGTCACAGCCAGGAGACCTAACTCGCAGCTTTGACTTAGGGGCAGCTTCTGTGTGCCCTGAGCAATGCTGGCTGACGCAGGACGGGCTGCTGGGGGGGCTGAGGGGGTGGCAGCTCCTCTGAGCCAGGTTTGGTGGCTGAGCAGAGGCCATGCCTATGGTTTGTGCTCTGCCTGAGGAGTGAAATTGCGTTTGTGTGGAAGCAAGCACGTGCTGCGAGAACAGGCAGCTTGGCAGTGAGCTTCCTGCTGTGTCTCCTGCAGAGCTCCTCGGGTACTTTAGGGATGTGATATTAGAACAATTCAGAGTACAAAAGCTTTCAGCTGTGGAATTCGATGAT